GCTCCCCCCCCCCCCCCCCCCCCCCCCCCGGCTATTGCATCTCACAGATAAGGGGATTTCTCTGGCAAGAAGATGATCCCTTTCTGCCTACTGCAGGGTTCTTACTTGTACCTTTCAGGCAGCTGGTTTCAGTCACTGTCAGAGACAGGACACAGGGCCAGATGAACCTTGAATTTGACTCAGGTTTGTGATTATTCCATGCCTGCGAATTCTCTCCAATATTAAGTAAACATTGGAAGGGTTAGGGTTACAGAAAGCCTAAGAAAGCCCTGAAGCTTTCTAGGGAGCTATGACAAAAATCAAACAAGCATTATAAACAATCAATTTCTGATTTGGGTCATATTTCTTATGGACATCTGTCTACAGAAGCACTGCACAACTTAACTCAATGGATATCTCTGGACTAGAAGGGCATGGGAGTCTGTGAGTCAGAAGTAAGGACTGGTCTTCATGTAGTGATAAATTTATGGAAAATAATTAAACTACTCTAGTTATATCAGTGTAAATCCCTACATGCAAGATAAGAGTGTCCTCTTCTAGTTGTATTTATCTCCAAAAGCACTCATGCCAGAATAAAATTGTCCACATGTGGGAGGTATACTGGTATAACGATAGTAACATAATTTTGATGCTAAATCTCCCCATTTAGACAAGCCCCAAGCAAAACAAAACAGTACAATGATATTAACCAAGTAGGAATTTAGATGTTCAATTGCAGCACCAAACTTACTTCTCACATGATTTTCTGCGCAGTACATCATGTCTGCTGCATGGACAAACTGGTACCCAGAGCCTCTCATACAGAGTTCGGTTTCTGTGTACCCTAGCACCACCTTTCCTCTGTCAAAAAACACCCCCCCAAAACCAGAGTTAACAGAAACTTTAGAGTTGAGGATAGATGCAAGGGAACAACATTGCACTAGCCCACCAACTGGAGCTCAATCCAACCTAGTCACTTAACTGATAACATGGACTAATGCTGGTAGCATTAACCACAACTAATGCGAAAGATGAGTAGGATTTTCCTTTTCAAGAAAAATTCCAAGATTTTGCAAATGGTTCTGTTTTGTGGTAGACTGAAGGAAATCTCAGGATCTTACAAGGAAGGTCTGCTGTGGCTGGCACAAGCTTTTGTAAGCTCAACCTCGGTCTATCAGATGTCCAAAACCTGCCTCTAGGCCTTCAGAACTGCATCAAAATCAAAATGTTCCTGTGGAAGGTTTTAATTTTAACAAACCAGCATCTTCTGACAAAACCAGGTGTTCTGCTGAAACATTTCCTATGTTTCTAATCATCACCATGTTCCTATTAATGAACAGCCTGAGTAGGATTGTGCTTAGTACTTTCTACCTAAATCTCTCCATTTACAGGTACCTTTAGATGATCAGAGCTAAAAGTTTGTACCAGTCAGTCTAGTGCATGGAAGGGCAAGGTACAATAGCTCAGTAATTGTGAATTGTATGTATGGCCTGTAAATACCTGTGGCTCAAGGTGGTGACCCAGCAACCCTTAAATTTCAGCAAAAGGCAGGCTTCCACTGAAAACTCCAGTGAAGAATTATAGTGAAAATGATCTTTTGAAACAAAAGCATGACTGTTATGCAGCGTTCCCTCTCAGCTGCGCAGTGTGCACAGCCGTGCAGGCGTGCTCATACTGCATTGCCAGGCACACCTGCGCAGCTGTGTATGCCGCACAGCTTAGAGGGAATGCTGCTGTTATGGTGATGGTATCCCTTTAAATGTATCTAAGTTTAATCTTGGTTATTTATAATGGTACTAACAAAAGTTTAGATAACCAAAGTTTTGGCCAGTCATAATCTGCTGTTTCCTCTCGTTCTGCTACAGCCATAACAGCAGCTTTTACCAGCAAACTTTGGAGCCACTGGATCCTTCAGAGCTGGAGGGTATTGTCAGTGTTCCAACAAGGAAGGGGTTCGGTGGAGCTTTGCCCATGCCATGGCTGGGCAGCATGGAGAAGCTGCAGCCAGGTCAGAGGCACCAACCTATCTCAGACCTGAGTTGGGTTTTTTCAGCCGGCCGCTGCAAAACCTTGCTGATGGAAGTGCTATACCAGGGGTGGGCAAAATGCAGCCTGACGGCTGGATATGGCCTGCCAGGCCATTCTATTTGGCCCGTGGGGCCCCTAAAAATTTTAGAAAATTAATATTTATCTGCCCTGGGCTGCCTGTCGTGAAGCCCTCAATGACTTGCCAAAACTCAGCCCTCTGCTCAAAATAATTGCCCGCCCCTGAACTATACCATACCTTGAATCACAGGCAGTGGGAGTAAAGTCCAGCTTGTGTTTAGTCTGGAAGATAAATGTCTTGGTTCGAAGCTCCAGGATTGAGAGAGGCTGGAGAGGAGTTGCAATGGCAAACAGAGCCAGCTGAGGAGGCATGAGGGACCCATCTGCAGCTCTCTTTTGCTGCCCATGAAGGAATTTCAAGCGACCCTGAAAATTCAAAGCCTTTTGGGGAGAAAAAAAAATATGGGGATGAGGAGGACACACAGTGATGATGTGAAAAGTCACTACATGAATCTAGTTATTCAAGTGTCATAAAGTCCCCATCAGTGAAACATGTGAGCACCTTAACAGATATAAAAGAATCCATCTGCATAGTATTTCCATGAGGACGGAAGGGATGGTCCCTGCTAAACAGATGGCAGGCAAAGCTATTACCCCAATTTTACTTATGGGAGAAGACTGTCTCCACTCTGTTTCCCTGGTGTTCCCACTCTGCTTTAGGGGTATATATGCAGACTGAGTAAGCACCCCCACACAAGCTTTAATTAAGCCAACCCATGTGTCAACAGCAGTCAAAGCATAATGATATGTGCTTTGCTTTAGTAGATACTGGAAACCTAAGTATCTGTTTTTGACCCCTGGCAGGCTGAAGCCCATCCTAGGGCATTCTCGCTTTGAATGTTAACCAAACTAACTAGATTAAAGCTAGATCAGATATGGTTACCCACACTGCGTTCATGCCTCCAACTACAGTGTGGACATAGTCTAAGTGATGTGCTCAACAGCCCACAAAAAGTCTGTAGGAATCAGAGAACTAAGCATGGGTTTTCTGGGCCCCTAGCCTACCATGGAGCCATCCTTTGTCTCCAATCTCTCATCCCAAAAGCAGAACATCAAGAGAACTTTCAAAGCAGGGCCATCCCTAGGGGAGTGCAAATAAGGGCCACCGCCCCAGGCCCTGCACTTTGGGGGGCCCTGCAGAGCCAGGTGGAGTGGCCGTGGCCCCTCCTGCAAGGCCCACCTGGTGCTGGTGACTCCATACGGCTGCTGCCTTTGTGTCCAGCCGCTCACTGCCTCCCTCCCCCCACAACCACCGCTGCCGCCGGCTTCTTCACATCCGGGCCCCGCACCCTGCTAGGATCATCTCTGATTCAGAGTCTGGCAGAGTTCTGCTGATTTCCAATGGAGCAGCACAAATTAAGAGATACACCTTCCTCTTTCTACTCCCACAAGTTTGTTTCAGCCCGCAGTAGAAACCTCCGTCTACTCAGGAGTCTTGCTCTTTGGACCGTGGCTTTCAGAGGGAAAGCATGGAAGGGGAACAAATGCCTTGCAAGCATTACCAGGAATCCTGAGGAGTTGTCCAATAAGCAGCGGAACCGACAGATGAAGCTTCTCTCCAAGAAGGAGGAATTTTCAGGAGGCAGGTGCTGGGGATCATATGTGGCAGTGTTGCTGTTTACAAAGGTCTGGCTCATAGGCATAGCTGTGAAATCACATAGGCGAAAAAACAAAACAGTCCCAAAGGACAAGAAAATGTGTTTATACAAATTCAGAACAGTCCAGGTCAAGCTGTGTCCTTAATGCAGGGATGGTAGGCATGGGAAGGACTGAAGACACTCAAGGGCCATGCACACATAGACCTCTGGTGCTGAGAGAAGACACCCAAGCACCTGAGAGGTTAACAGAACCTTCCTGATAGCACCGCTGCAAAGCTCTACCGGGATGCCTATTGCAAGGGCTTCTTTTCAGAGCCTGTTACTTGCGCTCAATGGGCTGATCTGCTGCAAAGCCTCTCTGGCACTGTTTCAGTCTACAATAGAATTAAATATCCTTAAAAAGTGTTGTTGAAATATTAATACTAATTAATATTAAGTGACAAGACTGTGAAAGCATAAGAAGGGCGCTTTATGCCTAAAAGCTTGTCCATCATCTCTCCCAACTATACAGTTGGTCCAATATATGACATTAAAAAAAAAAAACCCTTGCTACTTCTGCCAAAGATAAATCATAAGAATCCAATCTTGCCAAGACCAGAAACGGGCTTTGCCTTGTATATGGTCAATCTGACCTACAGGAAAAGGTCCTTTCTGAGTTCCAATTTGGCAGTTAGTGTTGACTCTGAGCAGAAGAGCAGCAGACCCTCTAGCCTGGATCCTTGGAGGTTTCTAGGTACCAGCAGGAACACCAGTGCGCTCCCATCAGAACTCCCAGCCTTAGCTGTGGTCAATGCCCAATGCTTCAGAGGAAAGAGAAAAAAGCCCACAGAAGCCAAAAATGTGTGACATACTATATTCTCCCTTGAACCAACTCTTTCTCCAGCTCACAACTGTAATACTGATTCCCATTATTCACAGCTCGGCCAGTATTTTTTCCATGAGGGACAATATCAAAATCTTGGCTTATAGCTACATAAACTAGGCCCCAGGCCTTGCCCTTACCTAAGGAGTCAGCTATTTTGTTCAAGAAGGGTATTAAATTCATCTGACACAAACTTCCTTGACTAGAACCATGTTGTGTTTTGTCACATTTTGTTTTTTTCACATCTTCTATTATTCTTTCCTTCAATATCTGTCTTAAGATTTTGCATATTATTAAATATAGCAACTTCAAATTACAGGGTGAAATCTGTCGTAGGAAATTGGCAGTCAATAATAGTTTTGCATTCTTTTCCATTAAAGAAAAAAAAGACTGACCAGTCATGATTACACATGATTCCTAATGAGGGTACTGCAAGTATCTTAGCTGGCATCTCAAACAGGAATTTGCTAATAAATCATCAGTGCTGTACTAAACATGTTTGTTTAAAGCTGCAATAAGGACAAGCTTGGGACAGTGATTCCATCCATCAGGCACATACCACAGAGACTAGAGTGACGCCAAAGAAAAATAGCACAGATTTGCTGCTGTTTGTTCCTTTTTGTTAAAAAAGAGAACATCATACAGTAAACAAAAGTACCGCATCATTAAATCTTGCAAGTCTTACCTACACAAGCCTAGAAAACTCGGAATTAGGGGTAAGATTGTTCTTCATGCTGTTGAGATGTTTGAGGTAGCTCACACAGGAGCCAAATTAACGTTACCAAACTTGGATGTTCCTGCCTGACCTCATCTTCCCTTTGGCTGGAAGATTTATTCTGAAAGATATATTCAGATAGCTCAGGTTTTATCCAACTCCCTCAGGTTTTATTGGCTATTCTTGGCTAGTTACAGAATAAGAATGCGGGTCTTCTTTAAGGTTCCTTAAGAACAGGCAGGGCTCATGTGTCAGCAGACATTTTGCCAGGTTTTCATATGGTTAGGGACAGGGACAGACAGGTTTCTATTTCAGTGGCTCTGCTCCTTCCTCCATGAAGTGCCAGAGGGGAAATTGTTTATCTGTCCCTGAAGGTCATCTGCTGCTACCCCACTTACAGTGTGTACGTGACTCCACGAGTGAAGACTGGACATGTTCTGCGCTCTCACCACTACTATGCTGAGAAAAACTGTGTATCTCAAGGTAGTGCACACATCATAACTTTTCTAGGGCTTTCTTGGGACACAGATCCCTGCTACCCTGCGGGGCACTGAGTTATACCCAGAGCTCAGGATCATTCCATCAAGCTGACCTTGACTTTTCCAAGAGCTATAGGGGTAAATCTGTGGAGGTCCATGAGCCAAAAGGCTCTAATGCTGGAAAATAAAAAGTGGGTTCCCTTTTAAGAACCAAATGTTGCTCTACTGCATCCTCCATCCAAAGCCTGCTCACTTGGTCTGGCTCTCCATGCCTAATACAACAGGTTCGATTATCCCACTAGGGTTAAGTTTAATTTGGGACTCCATTCTGCTCAAAACAGTCACCGAATGCACTGTCACTTCTTGGCTTTTGTGGTCTGGAGCCTAATCTAAGTGCAGGTAAAGGGTTCTGAATCAGGCCTCACCCACGCATTTCTGTTAGCACACACCAAGCTCAGAAATGTGGCAGTGAAAGTGCTCCAGAAGGAGCACCTTCTGGAAACAGAGCTCAGAGAGGCAGCAGGGGGTACCCCTGAAGAAGCTTCACTATCTCCTTCCCAGGTTTGACTCATGCAAGCTGAAGCAGGTGAGTAGGGTGTGTCGAAGAGCAACCCCTTCCCTGGAAGTGGCAGGAATGTGGTGTAGACATGCCCTTTGAGAACAAGAGGACTGCTAGAGCAGGAGACTGGCCCATACTGCATTTCACTGCTCCTTGTTTGCTGTAGAATTCCTCAGCATCCCAGGGTTTGGCTTGTATGGAGCTTGTCCTGCAAACTCTGGTTGAGCAGTGGAAGCCACCAATATAGGTTTCACTGTAAAATCACTCACCATCTGTGCTTTGGTCTGGTTCACTGGATGCCGGTGGATTTAAGGCCCAATGCAGCTGGCACCGGAACATGGCTCTATCGTCAGTGTGGATCAGCTCATACACGCTTTGGTAGATGAGATCAGACTGAAAAGAAATTAAGAAGAATATGCCATTGGATACTATCTATGCATTGAAATGAAGATGCAGAGAGCAAGGCACCAAAATGCACAACTAATCCATTGCAGCATTTCTGCCCTGGGACCTGTCTCCCTTGCTCATCACCGCATAGCAGGGCAGTTTGACTTCGTCAGCACTGCCAGACATACTAGGAACAGCAGCAAGACATGTGCCTAGCAATAGAGTTAAATAATCAGCATAATCTTTTCATTCATACTCACTGGAGAACAGAAACTCTGAAAGTGGGGTTATAATCTTATGGTCTGTATTAGAAAACCACCGTGTGGGCTCTGTAAACACATGCCTAGTGAGAGAGTCCTGCTCCAAATAATTTAGGTTCTATAGCTACACAACAGGCATATGGTGGAGGGGGTAAATAAGTTAAAAAGTAATGAAGTAACAAAGTCCTTGGCAGAGCCAGGCAGAAAACTCCAGACCAGAGCCCTAGGCTACATTCCCTCTGCTGTACTGGTCCCAGACCTGCAACACCAAAGGTGGCTGAATTCAAAAGGGAATACAACAACAGGCAAGAGGCTTCATCCTGTTACATGCTTTCCCTGTAACGTGGCTGTTGCATGAAGACACATGTCTGTAACTGAGTGATGATCTTGCTGACAGGGAACTCCACAGTGCACTGTGGAGAGCATTGACAGGCACCAAGTACTGAAAACAAATAATGGTGTCATTTCAAAGGAGGAGGCCTTTTGGCTCTGAAGTGTTCCTAGCTGAAAAGAAAAATCAGCCTCCTGGACCCCATACAAAGGACACATGGACCGATTCAGTCCTTGATGTAATATAAAACTACTTTCAAAAGGAGTGTGTCTGAGGAATTCCTTGCATGACTCATGGAAATCAAGCAGACTCATTACATTTAATAACTCTCTCTAGCTCCCCCCCAAATGGCTTAAGCCATGGTGGAGAACCTTCAAGAAGTTTCAGTTTGGGTTGTTTGTAGGGATTTTATTTTTAGTTCAGCTGTAAAGAATTAACAGTGTCATCTGAAAGCCAACTGCTGGCAATGGAAAACATTTTTTGAATTAAAATATGCTTTATAGACACTATTATTTTCCTGATGGCACTAGGCTCAACATTTCCTTCATCATTGTTCCCAGGCCATCTCTTGTGCAAGATGTTTACATAGCAGCCATCAATTATTTTAAAACTGCAAACAGTCCTTAGCCACCAAGTACATTTTTGCACTGATTTCCTAACTACTACCAGTATCATACTGGACTCCTACTCTCAGCGCTGAATTGTAGCCTAGTCCTCTAACAGAGTAAGTGTATTTACTACCCTGCAGCCAAAGGGAAGATGAAAACAAGCTTTGTTTCTTTGATTTTAAAAAAGGAACTGCCAAGTTCTTCAAAGAGAGTTTCACAATGTTTTTGATTCTTGGTTATTAACAACAACCCACTGGAATCTTTAGAAATAAAACTCTTTTCCTGCCACGTGTGCTGCTTTCATTGGATAAGCTCTAATTTTTGCCTTTTGGGATAAACGCTACACAATGACATTTGCTTCCCAGTACCTTGAGGTTTAGATACAGTCGCATTCAATAAGGGAGCAGATTTAGACCTGGTGTTAGAGAGAGTGCAAGAAGTTAACAAGTGCTCTCATCAGATCTGAATCTGCACCTAACGGCGAGATGATGTCCCATAAAAAATAGGTGCAGTGCAGAAATCCCTGAGACCCCTGACAGCTGTTATACTTAAGACATAATTAACTGGTTAGTCCCCTCTTATTATTATATTCTTAATTATAATATGGCCACACATTAATCATTATGGCCACACATTCATTCAAATACTGGCAAGATAAAACAGAGAATAAGCCATAATAACTATGTGTAATAACTTTGTGGCTGGTTCCTATCATTACTGTGTGGCGTGGCAGGGTGTACAATTGTTGGGATCATGCATCAGATCCCAACAGACCTTTAATTTAACATCTGACAGCAGCCTGAGTGTTATTTAGAAGGCAAGACTAGATAACTACAATAGTCTTACCCTAAAATCTTTATGGCCTTAAAATCTATATAGCCCTGTTATACTTCCAGATGTGCTAAAGTGTATAATATACAAAAATGATTCACTGGTAATTAAAAAAAGTCATTTAGAGCCAGCGCAAAACATTTTGGTTGTCCTGAAGTAAAATGATTTGTGTCAGATTTTTAAGGGTTTTTTTTCTTTCAAATGAAATGGAAAATTTCAGAGTGAGAAGTTGTTTCAGATACAAAACTGAAAGAAATTCAGAGCCTCCTTCCTCCCCCAGTACAAACAATTTAGCAAACCCAAGATAAATTCATGAAACATTCTGGTCATCAAATCACCACTTTTCATCGAAAAAGGCTTTCAGACAAAACTTTTGGCCCCACTCCTGTAATAATGTACACACGTTTTGTATGCGTGTACATACACACAATACATAAAATGCATGTTATTGTAACATGCATCATATACTTACAACAGCCCATTTTGTATCCAAATACATAAAACTCACCTCAGCTGGGTTCCTTGTATATCTTGTGTCTTCTATCTCTTGTATATCAAGAGCTTTTTTGCCTGACGAGGGCTTGTGACATGTTAATTAATGAAACCCAAGATGATCTCACTTTTTCCATGTTTGTATGTGAAACTTAATTTAATACATCTGGTCCGGATGTAGTCAGCGGGTCCGGATGGTCTCCACCCCAGGGTGTTGAGGGAGCTGGCTGGGGTTATTGCAGGGCCCCTGGCATGGCTCTATGAGCGATCGTGGTGCTTGGGCCAGGTGCCAGATGATTGGAAGGTAGCAAATGTGGTCCCCATCTTCAAGAAGGGGAAGAGGGAGGACCCGGGCAACTATAGGCCCATCAGTCTTACCTCAATCCTGGGGAAACTCTTTGAGAAGATCATCAAGGAGCACATTTGTGATGGGCCGGCATCAGAAATGATGCTCAGGGGCAATCAGCATGGATT